TAACTAATTTCACTTATATCAATTAATAATTATAGAAAGTAACTATCAACAAAATTATATTTATTAGCAATAATTTTACAATAATAGTGTACATTCATTATATATTTATATATACTATAATTAATACTTATTTTATTTTCAGTAATTATTTATTGTTTTTTTATAAATATGATTTTAAATAATTATTTATAAATCTACTTTTCTTTTTTTATTTAATAGAAAATTATCAATAATTATTGGAGATTAAACAACTATTATTTAACTTTTGAAATTTAATTTATCGTATTTATTGTATTTTTGTTATAAATTTATTTTTAGTAATTATATATTTTTTATAATTTATAGATTAATACTTGTTAGGGATTAAACTATTATTTGAGATTACACTATTTATTGACTAATTTTGTGTATTTTCAGTATTTGTTATATTTTTTTAATTATTGTATTTTATTATATATCTATTATAATTTCATTATAAACTTATTTTCAACGATTGTGTACGGTTGCTATAAATTTTGCAATAATTATTGGAGATTAAACTATTGCTATTTATTAGAGATTAGACTATAAATTTAGTTGAAATTAGGAGTGTGCAATGATTGGTTCAATTCAATTGTAGGTTGTTTCGCCAATTAAATCGATTTGGTCAAGTCCGCAGTTTGTCACTCGAAACCGATTGACCATTAGTGAAAACCCACCAACTCGGGTTGTATCGATTTGGGTCTATTTTCGGTTTAGTTTGTTTGTTCAAAAGATTTAAACTTAAAAATTAACTTTAAATTTCATAAATTACAATGATATTATTAAAAAATAAATTACAAAAAATAAATCTATAATATAAAATATTTTAGACTAAGAAATATGGGAATTTTCCTACTTTTCCATATTAAAAAATTAAATTTAAAATATAAAATATTAATAAATATTTATTAAACCAAAGCCGATCTGAAATACTAGAAAACCGACCAACTCGGGTTGAGTTTGATCGGATTGTTTGTTAAAAAGTTAAAATATAAAAGAATTATATACTCTTATGTATTTCTATTGTTTAACTTTTGCTTAACAAAGCTCGTGCATGGCATGGGTCCCCGTCACTATGCCTCTCCTTGCTCCATTATCCCTACCCTGCATTCTCTTTGACTTTTTTCCTCTCCCCTTCCCACCACTCCCATTAAGCCATGTCACCCAAATACCTAAAAGTATTCCTATAATCTCTCTCCCAAGGTATCTCATTTAAACCAATAGGAAAGTATCACGTTGCCCCACTCCCTAACCAATTCCTAAAATGCATCCCCCCAATATATATCCACTCTTCCTCATTTAAAATATTCATATTAATTAATAAATAATTAAATATAGTTAATATTTAATCCCACCCATATTCAATGAGTATTAAATAGTGTTGTTACCAATAGTTAAAAAATACGGTTAGTAAATTACCAAAAACTAAATATTCTTATTAGTATGGTTACTAAATTACCAAAAATTAATAAATATTGTTATTAGTTAACTCATTAACAACATTTTATAGAAATTGAAAACTCTTTAAATAATTCCTTTAAAATTGAGAATTATATTTAACAATTATCAAAAAGTATAAAATTTTAGTTATTGTTATTATTATAATTAATAACCAAATACAAATAGGGGAACAAAATATCATAATGTTAGAAAATGAAATTATTAATTAATTTATATTGAAAAATAAAAGATAAATTAGTGTAATTTTGTTAGTAAACTACCAAATAAAAATATGTATTTAATAACAATTTAAAAAAAGTTCAATAAATCCCCATAGTTACACAAATGTAATAAAATTTTCAAGAATTTTCGTAAAACTACATTTTCGTAAAATAACATTTTTGAAATTAAAAGATATAAAGTATTTGAAAGTTTATTTAAAATGCATTAAATAATTATTGAAAATTATTAGAATATTTTGGAAATTTTAGGGAATTTTATTACATTTGATAGATTTTGGAAAACCATTGAAAAATTATGTAATTTTCATTGCAAATTTTGAAAATTATTAAAGATAAATGACTATGAGAACTGGAAAACTATAATTTGAAAAGATAATTACACAAATTATTAAGATAAATTAGTATAATATTGGAAAAAAAGGAAATTATTGGTTAGTTTATATTAGAAATTATAAGATAAATTAGTATAATTCTGTAAGTAAACCATTTAAAAGAAAAAAATTATTTAATAAAAATTTAAATAAATTTAAATAAATTTAAATAAATTTTCAAAATTACACAAGTACAATAAATTTTGTGTGGGCCACATGCGAGTCGTGTCGTGCCGACCTAGCACAACCCAATTTACACCTTAAAGTGAACCTGCCCAATACTGGGGATGGGGCAGGGAAATTCGAGGATTCTCCATCCTTGATGAGGAGTGGGGTGCCTTACCCCTAAATTTGCCCTACATTGAGGAGTGGTTACCTTGCCTTGAACCTGCGTGACACTGAGGACGGGGTAGGAATGGGGTAGAGTGTCTTGACTATGGGGCAGGGAAAGGGATGGGGTGCCCTGCCCTGAACCCACCCCATTGTCATTCCTATATAATTGTTAATTATTAGTTGAACTAATAAAAAATTTAGCTTTTATAATTATTTTATTTATTTAAAATTAATAAAATTTTCATTAAAAATAATAAAAATAATAAAATTTATTAAAATTGCTATAAATTATTAATAAAACTATATCTATTAAAAATATTTGTTCATATTTAATTATTTTTTTTATAAATCAACATTAAATGAAAAATAAAATTATTAAATCTTTCAGATTTTTTCGTGCATCGCACAGGTCCCTGCTAGTTTATCTCTTAAATTATCTCTAATTTAGTAGAGAGATTCCCTCTTGAACTATCTCTAATTCCTATTTATCCTCTCCCCCACTTTTTATGTACATCTATGAAATTTTTAATTAAAAAGTTTCAGAATTATTTAAACATTATAACAAAATTACATACTAATTTTAAAATATTTATTCAAAATACAAAAATTAATTGTAATAGATTTAATAATACTCATATTATTAATGCTTCTATATTTTTACAAAATTCATTTCTATAATTATGTAGAAACAATATAAATTATAAATTTAAGAATTATTCAATTTAAATGTTATTCAAGTAATAAAAATTTAACATTAAAAAATAAAACATTATTTATATATTTCAATAACTAAATATCTTAAATAAAAAGACATTGAAAATAACTAATTAATTATATAATAAAATATTTAATATGACATAATAACATTAAAATAAATAAAATTCAAATAATGGAAAATTTAAATATTTTACATTCGTTTTAATTATTTAAATAACGAAATATTTAACATGATTAAATTTTAAATAGTTAAAATAACAAGATTATGTAATAAGTTTCAAAAAAACTCTTAAAAGTAGAAAAATAATCATAATAGATTTCATAATGTTCATATTAATAATAATTTATATTTTAAAAAATTAAAGTCGAATTATGCAATAATAGTACTAATTATAATTTTATGGATTATTAAATTCAATAAATAATTAATATTTTAAAAACTAAAAATATTATTTAAATAACTATATAATATTGTAAATAACTAATTTCACTTATATCATTTAATAATTATAGAAAATAACTTTCAAAAAATAATATTTATTAGTAATAATTTTACAATAATAGTGTATATTCATTATATATTTATATATATATATGTATATATACTAAAATTAATATTTATTTTATTTATTTTTTATAAATACGTTTTCAATAATTATTTATAAATCTAATTTTGTTTTGTTACTTAACAGTAAATTGTCAATAATTATTGGAGATTAAACAACTATTATTTAATTTATTATATTTATTGTACTTTTGTTATAAATTTATTTTTTGTAATTATGTATTTTTAATAATTTATTGATTAATATTTATTAGAGATTAAACTATTATTTGAGATTACACTATTAATTGACTAATTTAATATATTTTCAGTATTTATTGTATTTTTGCAATTATTGTATTTTTGTTAGATATCTATTGTATTTTCATTATAAATTTATTTTCAATAATTGTGTGCTTTTGCTATAAATTTTCAATAATTATTGAAGATTAAACTACTATTATTTATTAGAGATTAGACTATTAGTTTAGCACACTAATGGCGATCGATTCAAGGATTGATTCAATTCAGTTGTAGGTTGTTTCGCCAACCAAATCAACCTGATTAGGTCGGGAGTTTGTGACCTGAAACCGATTGGCCATTATTGAAAACCTGCCAACTCATGTTGTATCAATTTGGATCTATTTTTTAGGTTTGGTTTGTTTGTTCAAAAGATTTAAACTTAATAATTAAATTTAAATTTAATAAATTATAGTGGTATTATTAAAAAATAAATTAAAAAATTAAATTTATGATATAAAATATTTTAGACTAAGAAATATGAGAATTTTTTTATTTTCCCGTGTTAAAAGGATTATATTTAAAATATAACATATTTTAAACATATTTTAAATACATTATATTTTAAATATGACATATATATATATATATGATTGAGTTGGCTCAGTTTTCGTCAGTATACAAATGGCCAAATTRAATYTGACCTAACTTGGTTGAATTGGAAAATTGTTAAACCAAAGCTAATCRAAAATACTAAAAAGCYGACTAACTCGAATYGAGTTCGWCTGAATTGATTATTAAAAAGCTAAAATATAAATCGATTATATASTCCTATATATTTTTCTTGTTAAATTTTCAGCTAACAAAATCCGTGTATTGCAGACTCCCCGCTATTATGTATATATATATATTCCGTAGCCTTAGGGGTACTTTCAATAGGTTTTGAAAAGTTAGGGGTCATTTTATGTAATTTACGGAAACACTAGGGTACTTAATGCAATTAACCTGTCTTGATAGATTAACTATCTTGAACATGTGGCTCTGTTTGGTCATCAACCGTCCATCAACCACTATCTTATCTGCTCAGCGAATGAAAAAATGAAACGAATTCCGTCGCTTCCACTTCTTCAAGCACGTTATTCCCCTCGCTTCATTCCTCTTCAGTCGGGATTTCTCCACCATGTCTACTTCCACTCTATCCCCTGCAACCTATTATCAGGTAACCTAAACTCCCTTCAGTCTTCCATTTCTACCACTGAAACAGAGTTTATTGCTGATATGGGTTTCTTTGTTTTAATTTCATTTTCAGTTTTGCTCTAGTAAGAGTGGGATGTTCTCTCCCTCGCAAGCTCTTATGGTGAAACCCACAAAGACCCACTTGCTAGGGAAAGAAAAGATGGTGAGGATAACTTGCCAGGCAACGAGCGTTCCGGCCGATGATCGCGTGCCTGACATGGGTAAGAGGCAGCTCATGAATTTGCTTCTCTTGGGTGCCATTTCACTCCCCACCGCCGGAATGTTGGTCCCATATGCCTCCTTCTTTGCCCCACCTGGGTGAGTTTTCTTCCGCTCTGTCTCTTTTAGTTTTGGTAGTTCAATGTTAATGTGCTGTATTATTTCAGTCTCTTAATTTAATACTAGAAAAATTTATATGTAACTTAATTTGAAAGAGTCGGAAGGAATCATATAGGGCCTCAAGAGACTTGAGTCAGAAACTCGCATAATCAATGAAGTTGAACTGGAATAGAATTTAGTGAGATCCAACCATTTGGTAGAAAATTAAGGGCGATCCTCATTCTTCTTTTACTAAAGGAACAGATAGTGATTTGTACTGATAAGTGTTGTTTTAGTAACGAATTTGGTTATATTTCTGTTTATTACAGTTCAATAGACCTAGAATTCCTGAAGAGTTTTCGTTTGCTTTTCCGTACTTTTTTCTGTAGAAGATCAGGTGATGAAACCACTGCGAAATTGAATACACTCTCATAAGCTATCTTGAAAAATGATCTTCAAAGTGGTTGGAATTATCGTTAATCTGGCTGTTTGTTAGATAAAGTGACAAACAACTTAGTAGCTTCGCTTCTCTCGCAGTTTAACTTAATTCTTCAATTAGGAAACTAAGATGTTACAGGGCAAATCATGAATCTAGTTGGAGCATCAATCATGGAATTTCTACTGCATTTGATTTGACCATCAAGCTAGGCCGTTCAAATAATCAAATGTTTTTGCCATACATTGGATTGGTTGAAGATCCAAATGATGGAAGATCTTTCTTCACCTTGATTAATCAATTGGTATGGAATGGATGTATGACCATAAGCCACAACCACTGGTTAGTGATGAAACAAATCCAACAACCCATGGCTGTAGATGCCCTGGAATACCTTTTCTTTACTATAGAAGTTAAGCTTTATGAGACAATGCTGTGGCAGTTGGTTTCTTTGTCCCTCTTTACAGGATCGTCTGGTCTGAGCCAGGAACTTCACTAGTGGTACCTTTTGGATGGCTTGATACTTTTATTGTTCTATGTTATAATTTTTTTTGTCATTTAGATTTTGTTAACAATGTTGAGTGAATTGAATATATCACCATAATTCTAGGGTCCTGAATGTGTTATTCTTGTATTGGAAATAGAACAGATCAGGAGGTGCTGGTGGTGGTACAGTAGCAAAGGATGCTCTTGGTAATGATGTCAAAGCCTCCGAATGGCTCAAGACTCATGGTCCTGGTGACAGAACCCTTGTACAGGGGCTCAAGGTAATAATAGCTTATGTCCCCTAGAAGAACTAATACATGATTAAACAAATAGTTGTAGAACATGTTTTCCTAGTGCTGATAATAGAGAAGTATGCTTCCATAACTTAAGATATCACTCAAATTTCAAAGCAATGATACCACAGATTAAGTTGGAATGGATCCATCCACCATACGTGATTCTGATGCAATGAAGTAATCCCGATGACAGCTTGAATATATAAAATGTGTTGCAGGGAGATCCCACATACCTTGTTGTGGAGAATGACAAAACTCTTGCAACGTTTGGTATTAATGCTGTCTGCACCCACCTTGGGTGTGTGGTGCCATGGAATGCTGCAGAGAACAAGTTCATTTGTCCTTGTCATGGCTCCCAGTACAACAACCAAGGCAGGGTCGTTAGAGGACCTGCACCTCTGGTAAGGATTGCAATGCTTTCTCCATCCTTGGTTTGCATCGTTTCTTGTTTTGCCTTCTAACAAACGTTTAAATCTACTGTGGAACAGTCCTTGGCATTGGCACATGCAGACGTTGATGATGGGAATGTAGTTCTTGTTCCATGGGTTGAAACGGATTTCAGAACAGGTGAAGCTCCATGGTGGGCTTAAACCCTATCTTAATATCATTATTCCTCCATATATATTCAAGTAGAACTGTGTCAATCTGTTTCATCCAGTTCATGCACAGCCTGTATTAGAAAGAATCTTTTGTAAAATCAAGTTTATACAAGCTGTAATGAGCTCCCAAATTGAATTTGGCATGATTAATCTTCAACAATTGATGCTTTTAAGCACCCATAATTTAACAATGGATATTGTGCTGCGCCGAAGATAATGAAATGGTGAAACCGGATTCATGTAGGTGATCCCATATGATTAAGACAAAGCTTAGATGATTATGATGGTAAATTATACTTTTACCGTTCACTTCCTCAATCTCATTATTCTGCAAATTATTATTTTTTTTTGGCTTCTACTATTCAATTTGACTATTCTCGGTATTGTGATTGTGAGTTCTTAGAACAACCAAGCTTGTCCAAAGGACTAAGGCTGCATTTGGCATTCGTTATTTTAAGGTCTTTATCTCCTTTTTGCTGTTAAAAAACCCAGTATTCATAGGTAGGAATTGCAACGGGGCGGGGATTACATTCCCCATCCCTGATCCCAACCCCCTGATCCCCGTCGTGGAAAGGAATTCTCCTCTATCCCCGACCCTGATGGGGATGAATTCTCTGTCGGAGATCCGAATCCCCGATGTGTCCATTTGGGGACGAGGATGGGAGACCCCAATAAGAACCATATTGGGGTTACCACAAGGTTTATAACCTTCAGGTCACTGCAAATCCAGACTCCTAGACAGGGTATCAAAGAAGGGAAATCTCGAAGAAAAATCCACTGTTCCCTTAAATTCATGTAAACATCTCCATGGATGACAATATTAATCTAAATTTTTCCTCATACAAAGAAAGCAACAAGCCACCGATGTGTGTCAATCTAATAAAACACAGGAGTTGACTATGTAATCTTACTTGAGAAATATTACTTCATCCTCAATCCAAATTCAAAGTCTCAAATAGAAAATGTATCTGTATATTACCAAAAAAGTTATGAAAATTCTAAAGACAAAAAACTCACTTGCTTTCTGCTCCAATCATATTGTGGAACACCAACTGCAGGAGCAAACTGAAGAAGCACAAACCCCTCTTTCAATAACTTAAATGTTCCTGACTGGGCCAACCAAAAATCCACAAGAATAAATAAATTAATTTGGAGTACTTAATTGTAATGACAATTTCGAGCATTCTTTTAACAGTAAAACCTAGGGCTGAGTTCTTAAATGAGCAAAACAGAACATAAAACATTCATCTAAAGGGGCAAACTCTGGAACCTTTGGCTCTACTGTTAAAGCTGCCTTCCCCTTGTATATGGAATGAGTGAATGACCAACGAAAACCCTTGGAGGAGGCAAGACTACAACCAAAAGAGCAGCTAATTCAGATAAACTCTAGAAACCAAATTAGTTAGGACTTTTTGCAAGAAAAATGATACATGTTCCTACAATCATGCAGAACTCAATAAATGGGATAACAGTTCCATGCAACAAACCATGGGCCCATTGGAAAATGGAGGATTTTTTCCAATTCATAAACAATTCAGTTTTTGCAGTAAACAAAACAGAAGCAAACCAGCTTTTGCAGGAAGATGATTTTTTTCCAATTCTTAAAAAAAGAGGATTTGTTTCCATTGCTGCCGTGGTCTTAATCTCTAAGGACATCAAAAGCCCACGATGGGTATGTTTTTTTGGAGCTTTGTACTCAGTAGTGAGTTGGGGCAACCATGGGCTGGTCTGGACCAATGGGCCCTGTTCCCTTCTGGGCCTAGGACTGCAAATGAGAAAAAAAAAAACATTTAATGCTGAACCATAGTACCATAGTACCAATGTGTCTATGGCCTGGACTAATTTGTCTATGAACCATAGTACCAAAAAAACAAAAGAAACAAACCATCTAATACATACTTCTTATATATAAATTAAGGGCAAAAGAATAATACTGGCACGGCACCTCCATTTCAGGTGCTCATCTTCATACAGCATGGGTTTCATTTCATTTGGGTTCGGCTCATATTTCAGGTGCTCATCTTCATTCCAGACATTCTGCATCTTTTTTTCTTTTAGCCCTGATTCAAACTACATGCTAAATCCCACCGCCATCCCTGTATTTCTCTTTATCTCTTATTTCAAACCCAGTTTCAACATCCTATGAATTCTGGCCTCAAAACTTGAAGTCATCTACTATTATTTTAGAACTTTGCTATCTGAACTATATTAGAAATTTAGAATTTATTTTTTAAAATATAATGGAAATCAGTCAAAGTTGAGAGAAAGAGAGAGAGAGAGAGAGAGAGGAACATTGTTAGTTGAGGTTGGCGACGAGAGAGAGTCTGACGACGAAGGAAGAAGTGAAGAACTAGGGTTCAGAGTTCTTTGTCTATCGAAGTGTCAGTGTTTTTTAGAATGAATAGTATTAGTTTTTGTTTTTCAGTTTTAATTTTTTACAAAAAATGAATAATATATAATATTATAATATAAATACTATATAAAAATATATAATATTATTTGTTGTATTATATATATATATATATATATATATATTAATCGGGGCCGGAGCGGGGCGGGGATTCAGGGATAGCTCCATCCCAACCCGACCCCACCAAAGTACCCGCATACCCGACCCCATCAGGTTGAGGAGCCCAAATACCCATCGGGGACGGGAAAATTACCACCCCTATTCATAAGGGCATTTAACTACAAAAAAAAAAAAAATCCTTAAAATAAAAAATGCCAAATGCAGCATAAAATAACCCGGCCTTCGTCTTCCAATTCCAGTTACCATTTTAGACAGGAAATAAGGAATATAGTCTCATCAAATCAAATAGGAGTGAAAGACTTCCACAAATATTTTGTGGTTTAGTATCTTTAGCTTCCACATGGCTCTTACCCGTGAAATGTCATCAACTACTTGAAACTTTATAAAAGTGAATCATATGAATTCGTGCTTTCATTTGAAAGCAATGTAGGGAAAACAATTTCATCTCCTGTAATAATAATAATAATAATAATAATAATAATAATAATAATAATAATAATAATAATAATAATAATAATAATTGTTGGGTCCGTACGATGGGCCATAACAATCCTCACAGATAAAACATCATTGACTGATGGCCAATTCCAGAAATTCTGTTGAGAGAATTTCTAAATTCTGCTTTATCCCTAACATTTGATAAATACACTCTGCCTTGTTTAACAAGTACAAAGCCACCATATATAATGCATAGGTATGTAAGTCATGTTTCAAAATCATAACATGACGGAATGTAAATGTTGCATGAAAATTTAATATAATATGATATTACATTTATTTAATTGAAAAGAACAAATTTAACCGAAAATTGGTCTACTACACTGGCACTTGAGAAAATATACTAGCATTGGAAAATGCACCATCAAGATCAGCCCCAAACTCAAGATAAGAGGAGGGCTGGATTTGAACCTACATCTCTACTGGAACAAACCAGCCAGCATACCAATTGAGTCACGCTTCATTTGGCACCAGGTTTTGTTAATTGGATCATTTAACTCACATATTACACTTTTATCCCAAAATTTAAATTTGAAGATTATTATCTATTCTATATTTATAAAGTAAGAGTGTCTATATCACCATACCTCTTCTTGTTCCAAACCTCCTTTCTAATTTTCTTTTTTTTTTGAATTTTTTATTTTTTTAATTTCATATAATTGTCCATTAAACTAAGATGGCAATGTTCCCCATCCCCATCTAGGACTCGATTTCCCCGACCTGATTGGGTTGGGGATGGGGATTGAGGTCCCTGCCCCACCTCAACCCCAATTATATATATATATATATTAAAATATATTAAAATATTATTTATATTTTAAAATTTTTACTTACTTTAAGTAAATTGATTTTTCAAAAAATATTATTATTTAAAAAAATTGGGGATTCGGGTCCCCGCAGGGAACCCATCCCCGTCAAGGATCGAGGATGGAGGAAAACTTTTATCTCCAGCAGGGATAGGGGAAGACAGGGATTAATTTCAGAATTGGGGTCTAGGACGGGGAATATGATCCCTACCTTGTTGACATTCATTCCTACATTAAACCAATGGGCAAACAACATAGGCTAAATTGTCTAACCAATAGATAAAGAAAGAGGGATTTGCTTTTCTAATGTCTAGCCAAGTGGCAACACTATCCTCCACTTTCTCCTAAATTATCTTTAATTTAGTAAAGAGTTTCTCTCTTAAGTTATCTTTAATTCTTATTTATCTTCTCTCTCACTTTTTATCTATATCTATCTAAAGAAAATTCGAATTAAAAACTTTAAGAATTATTTAAATATTTTAATGAAATTATATACTAACTTTATAATATTTATTAAAAAGACAAAAAATGATTATAAGATTTGATAACATTCATATTATTAATAACTTTATATTTTACAAAATTCATCATGGAATTATGTACAAAGAATCTAAATTATAATTCTATGGATTATTCAATTTAAATGTTATTTAAATAATAAAACGTTAACATTAACAAAAGTATTATTTAAACATTTCAATAAGTAAATACCTTAAATAACGAAATATTAAAAATAGGCAAATAATTATGTAATAAAATATTTAAAACGTAATAACTTTAAAATACTTAAAATTCAAATAATGAAAATTTTAAATATTTTACATATTGTTTAAATATCTCAATAAATAAATATTTTAAATAATGAAATATTTCATACAAGAAAATTTTAAATAGTTAAAAAAATTATTTAATAAATTTAAAAAATTTCTTAAAAGTAGAAAAATAATTATTGACTAATTTAATGTATTCTCAGTAATTATTATAATTATTATATTTTTATTATTTATTTAATGTGTTTTTCTTATAAATTTATTTTCTATGATTGTGTATTCTTGCTATAAATTTTCAATAATTATTGGACATTAAACTTTTGTTATTTATTAGATATTAAATTGTTAATTTAGCTGAAATTACGAGTGTTCATGGGTCTATTCGATTTGGTTGCAGGCTGTTTGTCTAACCAAATTGACCTAATCGGGTTAGAGAATTGGCCACCCAAAACTAAAAGCATTAATGGAAATCGACCAACTTAGGTTGTATCAATTTGGGTTAGTTTTTGGTTTCATTGATTGGCTTAAAAGATTTAAACTTAAAAAATTAAATTTAAATTTAAAGATTATAGTGTATTATTAAAAACTAATTAAAAAAATAAATTTACGGTATAAATTATTTTAGACTAAGAAATATGAGAAATTTTCCACTTTTTTGTATTAAAAAATTATTTAAAATATAAAATATTAATATATATATATATC